GGGGGGGAAGGGGGCAAAAGGTGTGGGCAAGGGGGCAGGGGGCAATGGGGGAGAAGGGGGGGTCAGAAGGCAAAGGGGGGTCAGTGGATTTGGGGGGGAGCTGGATTTGGGCAGGGGATGGATTTGGGAGGGGGTTGGATTTGGGGGGGGCTGGATTTGGGGGGGGCTGGATTTGGACAAGGGATGGATTTGGGAGCAGGTTGGATTTGGGCAGGGGATGGATTTGGGGGGGGTTGGATTTAGGAGGGGGCTGGATTTAGGTGGGGGTTGGATTTAGGATGGAGTTGCCCCCCTTGTCCCCCCTCCCCATCCCTGTCCCCCCCCATCCCACCTGGAGCCGCAGCAGGAGCCGGTACAGGTTCACCAGGTGCTGGTTGATCTCCTGGAGTGGGGGTGTCACAGGATTTTTAGGGGGGTGGTGGGCGATCCCCAAGTGCCCCTGTGGGGGGGGGACACCGAGTCACCACCCCCCCCCCCCCCAAAACCCCCCCACCCCCCCCCCCCCCCCCCCGGGGCCCCCCGGGGGGGCCCCGGGTCCCCTTTCCCCCCCGGGGGGGAAACCCGGGGGACCCGGGGGGGGGGACACACAGGGCACGGGTTTGGGGGGGTCCCCGAGTGTGTCCCACCCCCCCACTCACCCTCTGCCCAGCCTCCGGATCCGCCCGGAATTCCAGGGAGCCGTTGAAGCTTCCGGAGTCTCCGTCTGTGGGGACGGGATGGGTGAGCCCCTGGGAGGATGGGGGGGTCCTGGGGGGGTCCCCAAATCCCCCCATCCTCCCAGACCCCCCCCCCTCTTACTGCTGGCGCCGGGGCTGGGGCAGCTCTCGCCCTCGGGGGGGTTGTTCTGGTTCAGATCCCGATCCCGATCCCGGGCGCATCCCATGAAAATCTCCTTCAGGCTCTCCACTGTGGGGGAGGGGTAGTGTGAGACCCCCCCCCATCCCATCCCAGAGACTCCTGGGGCATCCCAGAGCATGCATCCCATCCCGGATCATCCATCCCATCCCATCCCATCCCATCCTGGATCATCCATCCCATCCCAGATCATCCCATCCTGGATCATCCATCCCACCCCATCCCATCCCATCTCATCCCGGATCATCCATCCCATCCCA